TAGGCTGCCACCGACATCAGATGACTTTAGATCGTAAACAATACTTTCGAGAAAAACAGCAGCTGGGTGACTAGGCTGCCGGGCCAAACTGATTTTATAACAAGAATTAATTGACAATATTTTATGTAAAGTTAGCGTCTTAGTAATAGAACAAGAAAGAAGTTTACACTTTCTTGCGTTACATTGCACTTCCAACTTGGAACTGGATGCCAAGACATCTGGCGTATGGTGAATATAAGAAGATTCAACTCGAATATGGGTTTCCTGCTCGATTTTTAAATAAAGATATATATATATATATATATATATATATATATATGTATATATGTATATATGTATATATATGTTTATATGTATGTATATGTTTCAATATATGTGTATTTTGTGATAAAATAAACGTGTATTGAAATACCATAAACAAAATGTTTAAAACATTCTCAGTCTTTAATTTAAGCTTAATTAATGTGTAGGTTTAATTAATTAATTATTTTTTTTTTAATTAAATAATTTTAAATATTGTTGTTAATGTGTAATAAATGTTTAGTTAATGTATTGGCGGTTAGGACGTAAAATGTTTTTCGATAAATTTTGTAAAAAATATTTTTTTTTTTATTGTATTTTATTAATTATATTATTATGATGCTTGTTTAGTGTCGGATTTTGATTTTGTTTGTGGTTTGATGTTAATTTCAATCGTAGTGGTGGCTATTGGATGACAAGGTGCAGAATATATATAATATTGGGAATATTCTAATTTTAAAGATTATTACTTCAAATTGTTTTGGTGCTTTAAAAAAGAGTTTTTTTTTTTCTTCATTTTCTAACTACGAAATGAGTTTTTTTTAAAATATATTTTGTATTGCTAAGTGAGGACAAGTGATACAAAAAAAAAAAGAAAAAAGAGGGGAGAGAAAAAAAATATTGTTTGCGAAAACAAATTAATAAATAAATCATAATTAGATAAATAATTAACAAATAAATTAATATAAAACCCAGAAAAAAGTGTAAGAAAACGAACCAAGGAACAAATTCTGCAAGGGAGTATATGACATCTATAGCTGCCATAACGCAGATATCGATAACCTAAACGGAACATTTTTGATACGGTACGGATTTTTATTGCTGTTTGGAATAAAAATTCGAAATTCCCTTTTGAAAATTTACTCAGCTTTTCATTTTTCTAATATTGAAATTAGAATAGAGTTTTAAATACTTCTTGAAGTTTTCTGATCTTTTTAGCTTTAATAAGCTATTCTTGGCGGAGAATGTTTACTTGTATCTCATGCAATTTAATTCACGCATTATAAGCGCAAACTTCCTGCCTTCAATTTTCCAATTTTTAATAACACACAAGACCTAGGTGAAGCAACTTTATATTTTGTATGCTGGTTTCAGGTTTTTTCGATTTTATCTCTTTCTAAAAATATCAAATTATAAGGAGTTCACTATGCCTCGAAAGAATGATTAGCAAGGAAAACAAGTAAGAACTTTTTAGTCGAGTACCCAAAAAAAAAAAAAGGACTTACATGTTCAGTAAGACTAATGCCTTTGTCAATTTACAATTATGTAGCAATTTTCACCATAAAATATTGAAAAACAGTTTTTTTTGCTACGTAAAGATTCAGTTTTCTTATGAATCGTTATATGAGAAGGATTCAAAAAATTGATCCAGCCAAACCAAATTTTTCATACCAATGTCGGGATACTATTACTTAGTGAGCTTTGTTGACAAAGTTTGAAAATTGCAATATAACGAGTGTTCAAAATAAGGAGTTGTATGAGGAGTGGTCGACAAAGTGGACTGATACGAACCATTTTCAATAGCGTTCGTCTTTAGGTTAAAGCATGTCATTGCACCATTGCAAATATCATCAAAATATTTTAAAGATTCCGATCTGTAGGCTGAATACATGGGCACACATCAAATGGACGGAGGGACACACAAGCCTAGAACAATTTTCTGACTCGAAGCTCTTCTCGATGTTACGTATGCCCGGAGAAATTTTATACAACCCTTTAATCATAAAGCAGGGTAGGGTAGAAAAAGTCGTTAGGCAATCTTAATCATGGATAAAAAATTTCAAAGACAAAATGAAGTCAGTCATCCGTTATGAAAGGAAGATTAGTCTCTTGGTATACATTTGCTTAATGCAAACAACTCCGTTTGTACGAAATCTCACTTTGCTTACGCTTGCATTAAATCGGCGATCCTTTTCACAGTTGCAAACGCACTAAATAAAAACGTAATTTTTATTTTATTCTTGGTTTTCAAAAGTTAGTAAAGATAAGAAATAATAAGCAAATTAGGAAAAAAGAAGAGAAAGAGATAATAATAAAAAAGGATTAATAGCAGAGTATAAGTGAAAAGAAAATTATTTCCTTCATACTCTAATATTGTAGCCTAAATATTCGTTATCTTAAAATTGTTTCAATTGTTTTCTTAAAATCAAAGGGACAATAAAAGAAGCTATATTTATCATATAATGAAGTTTATTTATTCACCACCTAAGGTTAAAATTTTACTCATTTTTCTAATTTTCGGGAATATTTTCTTTTTATTTTCCTTTTGCTAAATTTAAGCCTAAACACATCAGACCCAAGACAAGTTTGAGACGAGAATTACATGTATAGGTAGTCGTTAGCCGATCGCGTTCTGAATGAGCCGACAGACGAGGGCTTGGCAAGACTCTGACAGAAATAGAGTGATGCACGACTAGATGGAGTTATCGAAAATGCATAATCGGATGGATAGAGAAGTAAAGGATAGACCTTCGATAATATTTAATTGTATTAGAGGTGGTAGAGGGGAAGAATAGGGCTTCTTGGATTCGAGTTTTACTTCATCCTTTGTACTGCTTACTACTTTTTACTGCTGGTTACTGTCAACGTAACCCATCAATAGAAACCATCATACATAAATTGCTATAACATGTCTCTTATATTATCGTGCTCACGGACTTGTTCGAATATTGCTTTCATTTATGTCATATATTGTCATCAGTTTTTATCAACTAAGGTTTAGAAAGGGTTTATATCCGCAGTACGCCTATAGAGTTGCGCAAAAGGAAATTGTAACGTACGTACCTATTTTCAAAGTTAGAAATGTCTAAAGGTTTTACCATTCTCTGGTGATCGGTATTTCAATGCTTAGCGATGTTATTCCAACTATTGTTGTCGTGTTCTCCTAGAAAGTGGTTGTGCGCTTAGACTAAAGATTTGATTACTTTCACTTTTGGAATGAAAGCAACTGAGCCATTTTCCATCCTTGTGTCTTACTCTAGGGTTTGGTCAAAAAGGCAGAAATTTATTGAGCAGCCTTCTGCCATATGTTAGTCACATAGCAATTCTTAAAGCAAGAAATCTCTAACGCTTTCTATATATTCGGTTTCTTTTCAAATAATATTGGACTACTGATATACTGATTCTATAGGCAAAAGGATAGGCAATATATCTTGGATGAAGAAAGAAGTTTCCAGAAAAATAAATTCTAAGATTAAAGTTTTAAAGTGCCGCCATCGAAGGCCATTAGCTTTGTTGAAGACTTGTGGTTTGAATCCACGACCATTCAATTATTCGTCGAGACAGATTGCCTGCCTTTTCGAACACTCAAGCGAGTAGACCTTATTTTAGACAGGACATAATAAGTAAAGTTTGACGCTTTTATTACAAATACTTTTTCCAAATAGAACAGAAAAAGTAAATCTTCAGGGTTTTACTAGAAATATTTTTTTTTAGACAATGCCAGGCTTTTTCGACAAATATTTTCTCCAAACAGAACAGAACCAGTAGGGCTTTTTAATTAAGTTAATCAAGATAACTGTGAGTGCAAACCGAGTAAGATTTCTAACAGAAGTAATAGAAGAACGGTTTGGTAAACTCAGCTTAATACGACTCAAAATTTTGAAAGCCTTAGGTAACTAGATGTGTGGTCAATTTTCAATTAATTTTCATCTTCAGGTGGTGGATATAGAAAAAATGAAAATCAAGTTATATTTAATTTATGTAATAAAAATAATTTTCAAACACACATGCAGTTAAATGTGTGCCGATATATCTTATTTTAAAATACAAATATTTAACTACAGTATTAGTAATGCGAGAAAAAATTTCGACAGGCAATGAAACGAAATAAAAGAAATTATGTAAATAAATAAAAAAATTAAAAATCAAGATAATGAATTAATAAAAAATGTAAAAATCTTTAGTGTTCATTTTAGAGTTAGTTTTGCAAATATAGTTTTCATTTACCTTCTAAAAGGTGGAAAAAAGCAAAGGTTTTTTTTTTTATTATTTTTCATTGTTTTTTTTTGTTTTTTTTTTTTTGTTAAGGAAATCAGAAAAGAAAAATAGTTTATTGTTTAAGTTTTTTGGCTTTTGTGGTGAGAAAAAGTTGAAATTCAAAAAGGAAGAGTATATATAAAGTGTAAGATAAAAGGTGTTTGCTGTTAGAATGCTTTCAATAAAGTAAGTAAATTTTTTTTTGGAAAAATAGTTGTTGCTTTTCTCAATATTAACAATCAACAACATTTTGAACTGGGTGTATAAGAAAGAGTAGTTTTTACTTATGTTATGTAATTGTTGTCCTTGCAATGATAACTGTTAACTGTTGTTTTCGTTGTTGTTGCTGTTGTTGCTTATAATTTTTTTTTTTTTTTTTTTTTTTTTTTTTTTTTATATAAAAAACATTTTTTTTTTTTTTTTTTTTTTTATAATTTTTTTTTTAATAAATTTTATTATTTAATTTATGTTTTTATATTTAGATAGAATTGTTTTTTTCAGACACAACACGTGATGTTTTTCTTTTTTCAATTTTATTTTATATATTGAAAATACTTAAGTTTTGTTTTTCTTTTGCTTTAGTGTTAGAAAAGTGTGCGAACTTTCGGAACTTAATCAGAAACTTAACAGACAGCGTAAAAGGTTTAGAGTTAGAAAATAATATAAAATAAAGTGTTGCTTCATTTTTAAAAAATTATAAAAATTACTTAAGAGACACTTACCTGACCTCCTTCTCCTTCGACACTAACTAAATCACGCCATTCTTCGATAGTTTGCGCCAAATCAACAGTGCAAAGGGGTACTTTAACTTCACCGATTTGATCGTGCTTAGAGAATCGATCAAAATCGAATATGGCAAATACCAAAGTCTTATTCATGGCATCGGCATAGGGTAGACTCTAAAATTAAGTTTGAATCTGTTATTATAGAAATAACAAAATTATAATGTCTTAAAGGCGTACATTTAAGTCTGAAATTAAGATTGAATCTGTTTTCTATGTAGGGCTCCAGTTCTATGCGAAGTGGTCGAAAAAGCGGTGCGATTCGAACCAATATCAAATTTCATTCAAATATCCCGGAAATTGTAGCCTGTAATGGATAAACGCAAGAAAACAGACTGACGGACAGACAATCTTAAATCGATTCAGAAAATGATTCTGAATCTATCGGTATAAGAAAAGGTGGAACCGTCTAATGCTCTTCCTGGTCTTGCATACATCTACACGAAATTAATATACTCTTGGTGTAGGATATAAAAAGTAAGGTTAAGCTTCTTTTTAACTTCATATAAGTCGCCTGATCAGGACAATCTAGAATTGAAGCTGTGAAGGATGTTGATAAACATTTACAATCAACCCTCTATACGAGTTGTACGTCTTTTCAGATTTAATCTGCCCATCCAGCCATTTATGAGCCACCAGCGTACGAGTGCAATGACAGGAGGCAAACCGTCAGGCAGATGAATTAATCGACAAACGAACGGACACATAGTTTAATAGACCGATACACGTTCATAAATGAGCTCAGATTCTAAAACTAAGGTATGTAATGTGGCTGCAATAAAAAAGTTTTTTTTATTTTTTTTTATCCTTTTTTTTATAAGTTTACCTTAAATGTAAAAGTTTCATTGAAGACAGGACTCAAGGTTTTGCGGTGAACTTTTGTTTCGTATTTCTTTTTCTTATCGGGCAGTAGATACACCTTCACATATGGATCTGAGGTGCCACCCATATCCAAAGCTGGCAATTCTTCGGCTTGTATAACTGTTACCGACAAACTGTTGGCATTGAAATCATATTCAAGCTAATCGATATATATTATCATAGTAAAAGTATGAAAGGGCCATAGAGAAAAAAATATAAAAATAAAAAAACAAAATTGAGAGGCATTCCCCATGGACCCATTTAGTCCGTCATAGCAGCATAAAAGTAGGAATTTTGAAAGGAAAAGTAGTAAAAAATTGATTAAAAAGATGTTACGGTTTAAAGTAAACACAAAAATGATCGATAGATGTAAAGGTGCTTGAATTTTGTACAAGAAAAAAAAAAAAAAAAAAAAAAACTGAACAACTACTTTAAAGTCTAGCCAACTATTTATTTAAAAGTTCCGATTATTTTCTTAATGAGTTTCCGTTTTAATATTATAACGTTATGATACAAGTAAAACATTTTACCCTTTTTCTATGTTCATTAACAATTATAACCTTCAATATTCTAAAATCATCTTTGCATCTTTTTGATTCTCATATATCCCGTGTCTATGTTATATGGGGCTTTAATAATTTCAACTGGTTTAACTCACCTTAAAATTTAAACGTCCCAATTTCTGTTCACTCTGCTTATCTTCTTCGTCGCCTTCTTCAGCGTTTTCAGTTAATTCCTCCATATCAGGCTGAACCTATGACATACCAGAACCCAATAACTACTTAGATTTGATAGAGCGGTTGATACTTACTTTCTCTTTATACGCTGATCCTAATAATTGTACTGATTTCATATCAACACCCTTTTTACCCTTACCATCTTTGGTTCGACGTTTCTTTAAAAATCGCCGCACACAAAAGAATATTATACCGAAAACGACTAGGAATACCAATATGATAATGGCTACCACACCCCAAGTTGGTATGCCGGTTTTTTCGGCTATAACACCGGCCACACGTTCGCCGGAATGTTCGATCTTTTTTAAAACAGAGGTGGCGGTAGTAGTCTCTTCTATTAAAAAGAAAAGAATGCCGGGCTTTTTTTTTTGCTTTTGTGTTTCCAAAAAAATTTAATTTTCTCATTGCAAAGAGTGAACTTACCTTCGGCTTCTGTTGTACCAGATGTGGCCGTTGTTGTTTCGGCATTGGTTATAATTTTTTGTTCTTCAGCAGTATGATGTTTATTTTCACGGAATACTGAATGTGGTGTGACTTCCGCTTCTACTTCGGCTTTCTGTTCGGCTGCCTCCATATCTGGCGTCGCCGACCCCGATTCGGGTGTCTCGTTAACCCCTCCTTCTCTCTTCTCTGCGTTTGGAGGCATTTTGGTTACGACGGAGGATTACTGAAATATTAAACCAATCCAAACAATTATTCCTTCCCGCAAAATGGTGAGCATTTTCACTTTCTCTAATCCAAAACTATGACGATACGTACATTGATATGATCGTTATGTATAGTACTTAATAAGAAAAATTCACAAAGTATTTTGCAAAAGTTCAATTTTATTTTTCAACTTCACTTTTCTTTTGTCGTGATGCGTCGGCATCAACAAATGTCCACACTATGTGATTTGTCGATCAATTTAAAATGTAATGGTTATCTGTTTTACAGCGAGTTATTTATTCCATGCGAAACGCGGAAAGCCAGCAGCAACAACTTCGATGTCTTCGAATAGATAATAGACGTCGGGGGCCTGTAGAAAGCAATAATTGTTGAAGCAGTTCGTATAATTTTGCTTGTAGGGACGCGAATGCTTTTTCATAAAGCCACCCGGCATACATGGTGCGTAGAGCTTGTTTATGTCCAAAATATTAAACACAAACGGTCGCAAGTAACTCACGCATTTTGAATTTCAAGTTTAATCATAAATTTTCGTATACATAAGATTCACCTACAGCTACCTATGAAAGCACAACACGTTGGTAGGCTTAATCAGAAAAAAAACACTTCAGGAATGCAAATGATAACGTTCACCTCCCGTTTACCGAGACAAGGTTGACTAAAGTCTTGCAGAGACTGTATTAAGCTGAAGTACCTTGGGAATGCTTGCAAACCTTCCCCTCCGGGCAAAGCGAGGCCTACTGAATGACCCTGCATCTATGGTAATTGCAGCTACCACGATAGTCCCCGAATCCCGCGTTTATTAACCCTGTTGAAGTCACAGATTGGGCTTCCTGACCCGCTGCCGCCACGTTAAAAAATTCCTCTTGAAGTTTGTAAAGACCCAATGTTATGAAGACAGCATTGCGAGCATCTGTTACTTACTATCTTTTAATGACCCGCTGTAATGATCTATATGTGGATAGGGCTTCGCGTACCAAGAATTGATCGAATCAACGAAGCGGACAAGTGTCATACTTTAGTGCGGCACTTAACCGCGAATGTTCGGTGCTGCTAGCTACCTCATACGGCAACAAGTCAATTTAAGACACAGCTTACGATTTAATCGACGAAAGAATAAAGTTCTGGAAAAGTGAACATTGTGGGAGTTGTTGTTGCAGAAACCCCATTAATTCTCTTTAGAAACTACAAACAAACTCCAAAAGTAGTATAATGCAGTAGGTTTAATTCATTTTCATCATTAATTTCTTAAGTGGCGTCTCTCCGTCACATGGATGACGTTATATTTGCTTTGCAGAAATAATGTAATAAGACGAGTTTGATGTCATGATCAAAAGTGTCGTAAAATTTCAAAAATTCTTACGAAATTATCATGTTTCTCATGGTCTTTTCAAAATGAAAACCTATGGCTAGTTTAACTAATTTAAATGGAGCCATACAAGTACAGTTGTTGTTGTTGTATGCCTCATACAAAATCCACCCTGTTGTTTTGGATGACAGAACAGTGAGAATAAGTGAGATAATTGAAATGCATACATAGAACGTTTTACGTACACAGTTGTATATGAAAACAATTTAAAATCGACATAGTGTCCGATTGAAACTGTTTTTTTTTTCCGCAAACTCATTCAAAATCCATTACTGGCCATCTCAGTTTAATAACCCTTCACATTTGAACGGACAGTTTTCCATTAGTATCTAAAGGGAAGCATGTTGCCTATCATTTTGTGCGCAATTTAAAAAAAAGAAGGAAATAAACTTGAATCGTATTGAGTATTATTGGTCTCCCCTTAGAAATTGGAAAAAAGAAATAAGAAATAGCGGCTGCTTATGACGAAATAAATCGTATTTTCGCCAAGAAACATCATAAGTGTATTGACATATAAATTATCCAATATTGGTCCTAAACGACCCTTATGCAAAGTGCAGATGTAGCCTTTTTAGGTCGAAAAAGCATTTGGAGTAGAAAACGCTTGAACAGATCATCGCCTATGCATAATCGCAACATCGTAATACGTATGTCGCTTTCAAGCAACAACAAAACAAGTCGGTAACAATTCATGTTGTAAGGAAAACACTATTACCTTCAAACTTCAAATTATGTAAATTTGTAAGCAAATGCTTGCTAAGGCTTAAATGAAAAAAGTTCCTGATAAGAATTTTTGCGTGCGGTAAAAATAATTGGTTGACAAAATAATAAAAGTAACACTCATCGTTCTTCCACAATAGCGAATATAAATCAAAATTGAATTACAGGAAAGAGGTGTATTTGGAAAAAAATTAGAGACTGATTGACGTCTAGCAAAAGCATCAGTGCATGTCACACACAATTCCATTGTAAAAAAAATCAAATTGAATGTTGTTGGGTCGTTTAATTTGATTATAAGAATGATTCACAAAGTAAGTCAAGTTTCTATTAAAAGAAATAAAAATATTATAGTCGACAGGGTTAACACTTTGGACTCGAAGTTTTTTTTCATTCGTATTACAATCCGCGAGCCGCGATCGTCATTTGTCATTAACAGCGAAACACCCGAATACTAGTTTTTATGATTTGTTATTGTTTTTATGTTAAGAATTGCAAATTATTTACAATGTCTCCGCTCCAGAACCCTCGAATCCAAAGCGTTAAATAATGTTTCGTCTAACACAATTCATTCGTCATTTATTTTCGCGATAAAATATAAACAATTCCACATGTACGTATGCTGTTCGTAGGAGCTACATGTACAAGTATTAAAAACAAGATTACTTTGCCACATAAACGTTTACTACTCCGGGGAGTTCTTTATAAAACAGATCAGTTAGTTTCTCTCACACTTTACTTTTCTCAGGTACCCTTTTATGCGACGCGGTTCAAATCCGTCTCCAATTTGCCCCACCAATTAATCACGCCGAAATACTTTTGGAATCTTGTCATTTTTTTTATAAGATCTTATATTGGGAGTCATTGAAGAAATTGTTTCGATTTTCAAAATCGTTCATCTGCAGAGCACCAATTATTTGATATATTGTGACCTGAATGCTGAATAGAAAATTATATAGAGAGAGATTTCAGACTGTTAAGAAAGACAGACAGGGTTAAATGGATTGAATAAACAAGTAAGAATGCTATAGCGGAGCAATGCCGACCATTCTACGCCACTGCGCCTAACAGAGTTCACAAATTTTCATAATAATATATTTTTATGCGAATGTATAATGTTTAGGAAAATCCTCACATTGGAGTGCTGGTCGGTGATTTTATTATTTCCAAGTTATTTCCGTTGTAACAAACCACAAATTAGACTTTGTCGCCGTGGAAGGGCTCGCTTTCATGAGTACCCTTATGGTTTGGTGAGGTTAAAAATGTAGGCCTACGTGATACAAATTCCCTATGGTCGATGAAGAACTAGCTTTCATCATATCCTCATTATAATCCTGATATAGATTGCTATCCAAATTTAGCAAGGATAACTTGTATGCAAAGTTATATTGTGAACGAGTTTTCATCAATAAGCATTGAAAATTATGCCTTCTTATCATATAAAGATTCAGTTTTCGTAGGACGGTTAGATGGAGAGAGTTTTGTAAAAATGCCCCATCCGATCCAATTCACACAAATTCAGAATGCCGAAGTACTATCGGTAAGCGATTTTTGTCGCGAAATTTCTACATTTCGTTTTCATACGACAACTTACGAAAACAAAGTAATATATTTATATGGCGTGTGTTTGAAAAAGTGGGCCGATCTGAAACTAAAGCGCAGCAAATTTCTTTCAAATATCCCGTTATTGCGACCTGCAGTTTGAATAGACAGATACTAGATGGGCAGGCAGACAAGCTTAAATCGACTGAGAAAATGATTCTGAATTGTTCGGTATAATAAGAGGTGGGTCTCAGTCAGGTCATTCTAGGTATTACATGCCACTGCACAAAGAGGATATACCCTGTAATACAAGTTATGTTTCTTTCACATGTGAAATAAAAAAAAAATTTTTTATACACGCGTCATATTTTCTTACTAATAGTCGTACAAATGTTAATCTCAAGCTGTGGAAATATTATGTAAGTATGCATTTTATCAGTTTTCCACTTCATATAACACTTCTAGTACACTTAACTGTGTGCTTCAATTGGGCAGGCATTGATGTATATTCACAATGCGGTAAAGATATATTAAGTTTGTACAGCTGTAGGAAAACTCAAAGAAACAAGGATTTGCGGTAGATTTGTCCTTAATTATACGAATTGGATCAAAAAGCGTTTTTTGAAGAAATAAACATCTGTCCGTCCGTTTTTTTTTTGCTTATGTGCAAGTTTACGGTTTGTCTATGTATTTTTCTAGCCCTTTCAGTGGGTGAAAATTAGTACTTACCACATTGAACTCGAGAAGTTGAGATATAAAAATCTTTCGAACCTCATTCTCATAAACGTACTTAATTCCTGGCATTCTATCATGAGATATGTTTATATAAAGAAATAAGTGTACGTGACAGAAATAGAGAAAGAATGATACGAAAAATTAACTTTACTGAGTTTGGATCAAGTTGATTCACACTTGCGTCTCTCTCGAAGAAAAATTCGCACAGAAAGTCATATTTTAACTGAGATCAAGATATATTTATAACGAAAATCGGTTAAAAACGATTTATTAGGCGACTTGGAGTAGGGCACTTCACCATCTAGTAAGCCCTATACCACAATGTTTTCATTTGCTTATTTTAATTAATTTTCTGCTATCTCATTCCATTTAAGTACGTTTTGAATGTCACTTTGAATTGTTTTTATTTTATAATTTCTCTGCAATCACTTTTTAAAACCTTTTTATTATAGGTAAATTATGTTGAAGAAATGACGGAAAATTGATTCAATTGAGCTAAAGTCAGTTGGACCTATATTTAGACTGCATCGAAAAATGTTTTGATCGATTAAGAATATGAGGCTAAAAAATGGGTACAATCTGTTGACAGAGATCCCTGCAATGCAAAAGAAATTAGAACATGCTACGAGAATATATTT